CGGGGCTTGGATGCCAAATACTTCTGGACATCAAGCAGTCAAACTGTTGGTATGATTGTAATCAGTATTGACTCCTCTACCAAAATTGTGAAATTCAGGGCCCCAGGATCAGGGGTTCTGGTGTTAGGGCGGGGCTACATGTAAATAGATTATATAGTGAAAATGCATTATTTCTTTGAAATTTTTCTTTTCTGCTCCTGGGCATCAAATAAAATAATCAGGTGCATAGTTAAGTTGAAAATGACAAACTTTTCCAAAATTGTGAATTTCATGGTCCCAGGGTCAGGGGTGCTAGGGCGGGGTTATATAGATTATATAGTAAAAATGCATAAATTCTTTGAAATTCTTCTTTTCTGCTCTGGGCATTAAATGAACTAATCTAGTGCAAACCTAAGTTGAAAATGACTGCCTCTTGTGTATTTGTGAATTTCATGGCCCCAGGGTCAGAAGTTCTAATGCTAGGGAGTGGCTTTATAGATTATATAGTGAAAATGCATAAATTCTTTGAAATTTTTCTTCTCTGTAAATGGGCATTAAATAAACTTACCAAGTGCATAGTTATGTTGAATAAGGCTACCTCTTTCAAAATTGTGAATCTCATGGCCCCAGGGTTAGGGGTTGTAGTGGCAAGGTGGGGCTATATTAATTATATACCGAAAATGAATTATTTGAAAAACTTCTTCTCTGCTCCTGATTATTAAATAAACTAACCAAGCACAAAGATATGTTGAATAAGGCTGCTTCTTCCAATATTGTGAATTTCATGGCCCCTGGGTTAGGGGTTCTGGAGTTAGGGCGTTAGGGTGGGGCTCTATTGATTATATAGTGAAAATACATGAATTATTATTTGAAAATCTTCTTTTCTGCACCACTGAACTATGTTAATTCAAAAGAGAGTCGCTTTCTACATATTTAAGTCGCCCGCGTGGCGCAGTGGTTAGAGCGTCTGCTCCAGAGTCGCAAAGTAAGGAGTCAATCCTTACGTCGCGGGTTCGAATCCCACTGCGGGACGTGGAGACCGGTCCTTCGGATGGGACCGTATAAACCGAGGCCCCGTGTCGCAGTAGGTGCTGGCACGAAAAAAGATCCCTCACTGCTCAAAGGCCCTGAGTGCCGAGCATAGGACAAAATTTGTAGCCCTCCACCGGCAAGTGGTGGCGTCTCCATATGAGTGAAAAATTCTCGAGATGCACATTAAACAATATACAATCAATCAATCAATCTATATATTTAAATTCTGGATAGACAAAGTAGAAAAACTTTCATGTGGTAGATATAATACTGGATCTTTGTATTCAATGAAGTTAAATTTGTTTGCTGTACATATGTGTCTATTTTTGGGAGGGGGGTGGGGGTGTGACCCCGTAAAAATGAGTTGTTCTCCTGCTCAACGGAAAGGTCTGAGAAGTTGTAATGGGATACTCCCTTTTTGTTTCCAACATATAAATAATGTTTAATAGATCAATTTTTAATGAAGCTGTGTACTACACAGACCCGAAACTGTCATGATTCGCCATTTCATGATTCGCGAATTCGACACTGCGTGTATAATCTGAATATCATAAGTACTTTTTACAGACATTGACACTGGAAACAAATTGAAAGAGGGGGGGGGGGCAGTAAAAAAATTCCAACATACAACAAATTTGACAAGCCAAAATAAGGGGCATATATCCTTTGCCCAAACACGAAAATCCTATTTCGTGAGTGTGGGAGCCCTAACAAAAAAATACTATAGTTAACTATAGTTAACTATAGTTTACTATAGTTAACTATAGTAAATCAAAGTGTCAAAGTTTTTGTCAAAGTTTTTCAAAGTGTCAAAGTTTTCGCCAAAGTTTTTCAAAGTGTCAAAGTTTTCGTCAAAGTTTTTCAAAGTGTCAAAGTTTTCGTCAAAGTTTTTCAAAGTGTCAAAGTTTTCGCCAAAGTTTTTCAAAGTGTCAAAGTTTTCGCCAAAGTTTTTCAAAGTGTCAAAGTTTTCGCCAAAGTTTTTCAAAGTGTCAAAGTTTTCGCCAAACTTTTTAGTGTCAAAGTTTTCAATAAACTTTTCAAAGTTTTAAAGCATCCAAGTTTTCGATAAATTTTTTGGAAGTATCCAAGTTTTCGATTAAGTTTTTCGAAGAATCCAAGTTTTCGATAAAGTTTTTGGAAGTATCCAAGTTTTCGATAAATTTTTTGGAAGTATCCAAGTTTTCGATAAAGTTTTTGGAAGTATCCAAGTTTTCGCCAAAGTTTTTCAAATTGTCCAAGTTTTCGATAAAGTTTTTCGAATTATTTAAGTTTTCGATAAAATTCTTTGAATTATCAAAATTTTGTCAAAGATTTTTAAAGAGTCAAAGCTTTCGCCAAAGTTTTTCAAAGTGTCAAAGTTTTCGCCAAAGTTTTCAAAAAACTTTTTCAAAGTTTTAAAGCATCCAAGTTTTCGATAAAGTGTTGGATGTATCCAAGTTTTCGATTAAGTTTTTTGAAGTATTCAAGTTTTCGATTAAGTTTTTTGAAGTATCCAAGTTTTCGATTAAGTTTTTCGAAGTATCCAAGTTTTCGATAAAGTTTTTCGAAGTATCCAAGTTTTCGATAAAGTTTTTCAAAGTGTCAAAATTTTCGTCAAAGTTTTTCAAAGTGTCAAAGTTTTCGCCAAAGTTTTTCAAAGTGTCAAAGTTTTCGCCAAAGTTTTTCAAAGTGTCAAAGTTTTCGCCAAAGTTTTTCAAAGTGTCAAAGTTTTCGCCAAAGTTTTTCAAAGTGTCAAAGTTTTCGTCAAAGTTTTTCAAAGTGTCAAAGTTTTCGCCAAAGTTTTTCAAAGTGTCAAAGTTTTCGTCAAAGTTTTTCAAAGTGTCAAAGTTTTTGCCAAAGTCTTCAAAGTGTCAAAGTTTTCGCCAAAGTTTTTCAAAGTGTCAAAGTTTTCGTCAAAGTTTTTCAAAGTGTCAAAGTTTTCGCCAAAGTTTTTCAAAGTGTCAAAGTTTTCGTCAAAGTTTTTCAAAGTGTCAAAGTTTTCGCCAAAGTTTTTCAAAGTGTCAAAGTTTTCGCTAAAGTTTTTCAAAGTGTCAAAGTTTTCACTATAGTAAATCAAAGTTTTCAAAGTGTCAAAGTTATCACTATAGTTAACTATAGTAAACTATAGTTAACTATAGTTAACTATAGTATTTTTTTGTTAGGGAGGGGGGGTCGACTTTCTTTCAATACCATTTTTTCTACGGAGGGTTTGTATGACTCATAAAGAAACAGCTTTTAGACTCTTACATACAAACCTTGGACATCATGGACGTGACAGAACCATTCAGCTCATGAAAGAAAGATAATTTTTTCTGGCCCAGAATGATTCAAGATATTACAGAGAGAATCAAGAATTGTGACCGCTGTGTGAAGTTCAAAACTCCTTAGAAGATTTCTGCAGAACTGGTCAACATTGAAAGTTACCAACCATTAGATCTTGTATGTATGGACTACATGTATTTATCACTAGAAAAAAGCAGAGGAGGTTTTGAAAATGTATTAGTAATTACAGATCATTTTACTCGCTATTCTCAAGCTTTTCCATCAAGAAATCAAACAGCCAAATAAACTGCTAAAATATTATTTGAAAATTTAATTGTTCATTACGGATTTCCAAACAGATTACACAGTGATCAGGGTAGAAACTTTACTAGCAATGTTATCAAAGAGTTATGTAAGCTAGCAGGTGTACAGCAGTCGCGAACCACTCCCTATCACCCTATGGGGAATGGGTTGGTTGAGCATTTCAACCAGACTTTGATCAAAATGCTAGGTACACTGGAAGATAAGCAAAAAGAAGACTGGAAATCTTATGTAAGTACTCTTGTGCATGCATATAATGCCACAAAACATGACAGTACCGGATATACTTTCTTTCTTAAGTTCGGCAGGCATCCGCGTTTAGCTATCGATGCATACCTCGGCTTAGACTCTGACACAGCAGTCTAAACAGTTATGCGAAGAAACTCCAGAAGCGTCTAGAGTTCTCTTACAAGATTGCATCACGTGAAGCTGAGAAAAGTGCTTCTCGTCAAAAATTGAATTATGACTCAAAGGTTAGAGAAGCAACGGTACATGTTGGAGACCGTGTTCTCATTAGAAATGTTGGTTTAAAAGGAAAAAATAAACTGGCGGATAAATGGGCCAGAGATACCTATATTGTCATTAATCAGCGCAATTCTGACATCCCAGTATTTCAGGTCAAGAAGGAGTATGGGAAAGAGAAAACTAAGACTTTGCATAGGAATATGCTACTTCCCATATCTTATATCCCCAAACTTTCTGAACAGGGTGAACATTCCACTAAGGTGACCAAACACAAATGTGTTCAAAAACAGGAAAACCCCCATGGAGAGAATCTCTCTAAGGTTCATAATGGTACTAATGTATCTAAATTTATCCCGCTTCAGACAAATTTGTAGATTGCTGATTGGATAAAAGCTGATCACATGACGCCCTGAAATTTTCCGTATTAGGCTACGTCTCCGTCGAGGCGTAATATGAAAATCGGGCACGCGATTCCGTTTGCAGCGTTGTTATTGTAAATAAAAATGGCGTCTAAGAGACGGTTTACGTAGGTAGTTTAGTTAAATTTCTTATTACTGTAACGATATTTTATGTTGATTGTTATTGGATTAAAACTTGATTTTTTCATAATATGCAAAATTTTTTTTTTTTTTATATCGATAAAGGTCTTCAGCGGGATATAAATTCGTAACACAGTCAGTTAGTGACCTAATACGGAATCATACAGGGTGTGAAATGGAAATCCGTATTGGGACTCGGCTTCGCGTCGCCCAATACGGATTTCCATTTCACACCCTGTATGACTCCGTATTGTATCATTTATATGTTTTGAAATGACCCGTTTTGTGTATTACGTCATCAATTATGTGAAGGAACACAGAATTAAAAGCCTGGACCCGACGCCATTCTTATGTTGTTTCTACAGGCTAATAAAAGCATTATAGGACCACCTTAACCCTAACACATGGTGTCAGAAGTTTACAATGGATAAATTGGAACCACCAGGAGTACTTTCGCTCACGGGGAACGTGGCAGAAAATTGGAAGAAGTTCAAACAGAGGTTTGATGTTTATATGACGGCTACAGGTGCGTCCGAAAAAGGTGACAAACAAAAAGCATGCATTTTCTTACACGTAGTAGGAGAAGAAGCAGTTTATAACACCTTTGTATTTGACGAGGGTGATGAGTATAAATTAAAGAAAATACTCGAGAAATTTGAGGCTTATTGCACACCAAAACGCAATACTACGTATGAGAGACATAAGTTCTTCACGAGGGTGCAGAGGTCCGATGAGACCATAGACCAATATGTGACGGAATTGCGAACTATGGCAAAGAACTGTGAGTTTGGAGATCTAGCAGATTCTCTAATACGGGACAGAATAATATGTGGGGTCCCAGACAACACGCTGAAAGAGAGACTTTTACGAACAGTCGATCTAACATTAAACAAAGCACTAGCAACCTGTAGAGCAGCAGAGTCGACAAAGGAACAAATAAAAAGTATTGTCCCTCCTTCTGAAGTACATTCCATTGGAGGCAAACCAAAAGACAAAAAAGTTCGGGCATTTAAGCAAGGTAAAATTTGTGGACGGTGTGGATATGATGATTCACATAAGACTTGCCCTGCTATGGGTCAAATTTGCAATAAGTGTAATGGTGCAAATCACTTTGCAAAAGTCTGCAGATCAAAAGGCAAACAAAATAGTACTAAAAAGAAAATACAGAAAAAGAAACACATTCATGACATTCAGGATGAACAAGCCTTCTTCATCGACGCTCTGGAGACAGTTCATTCCGACAAACCAGAGGAGTGGCGTGTAACTCTAAATACCAATGGCAAAGGAATCAACTACAAGTTGGATACAGGTAGTCAAGTCAACATCCTTCTGGAGAAACAGTATCACAGTCTACGACGGAAGCCAAAAATACACAAGACAAATATACAGCTTATGTCGTACAGCAAGCATAGTATTCCTGTTCTAGGAGCATGTGTTCTGGAAGTTTCTCATCAGGGCAAAGCAGCTAAGGTCTACTTTGTGATAGTTCAGGATGCTTCAACAGCAATCTTAGGCGTAAAAGCTTGCGACAAGTTAGGACTAGTGAAACGCACATATACCATAGAAAACTGCACAAAGATTACAGACACAACTGCACAGATTGTGGATCAAAATAATGACTTGTTCGAAGGATTAGGATGTTTACCGGGTGAACATAAATCATCCATAGATCCAGACATTACACCAGTAGTGAGTCCATGTCGTAAAATACCTTTCGCTCTACATGAAAAACTCCAAGATGAACTTAAACGCATGGAGGATATGGGTGTCATACGCAAAGAAACCGAGCATACAGATTGGGTGAGTCCGATTGTAATCGTTCCGAAAAAAGACGGAAAGATCCGCGTGTGTCTGGATCCAATTCAATTGAACAAAGCGATACAGAGAGAACATTACAAGCTGCCAACACGAGATGAGATTCATGCAAAGTTCAAGAATGCACATTATTTCAGTAAACTTGATGCTCGTACCGGATTCTGGCAAATGAAACTGGAGCAGAAGTCATCAAAACTTACCTGTTTCAATACACCATTCGGAAGGTATCGATTTCTGCGTCTACCTTTCGGTATCTCATCAGCACCCGAGATATATCATAGGACAATTCATATGATATATGAACACATACCAGGATGCACGACAATGATGAATGACATCATCGTATGGGGTTCAACTCTACAAGAACACAACCAACGACTACAGCAAGTGTTCGATGCATCGCGCAAAGCAAATCTCAAACTGAATCGAGAAAAATGTGTATTTGGAGTTAAGGAACTTACATTCGTCGGTGACACTATATCCGCAGAAGGAATCAAGCCAGACGAGGCCAAGGTCAGGGCCATAACAAACTTTGAGACTCCAATATGTAAGAAAGATGTACAACGCTTTTTAGGCATGTTGAACTACCAGGCAAGATATGTTCCAGACTTGTCATCGAAAACTCAAGTTCTGCGAAATCTCACAGAGGACAAAAACCAATTTCAGTGGACTACAGTTGAGCAAAAATCATTCGATGAGCTAAAGGCCATACTAACAAGTACATCAGTTCTTAAGTTCTTCGACCCGAACAAAGAGATTAAAATCTCCTCAGATGCCTCTAGTTTTGGACTGGGAGCAGTGCTCTTACAGAGGCATGATAACGAGTGGATGCCGGTGGCATATGCGTCCCGAGTTATGTCTGATGCAGAAACCAGATACGCGCAGATTGAGAAAGAAATGTTAGCCATATCATTTGCATGTGAACACTTCCACCAATACATACTTGGACAGGTAGTAGAAGTGGAAACGGATCATAAACCACTTGTGAACATCTTTAAGAAGTCCCTGAATGACTGTCCACTACGATTACAAAGACTGCTGCTGAGGGTACAGAAATATGATCTACGTATTGGCTACACTCCAGGAAAATTTATGCATACTGCTGATGCGTTGTCCAGAGGAACGGATATGTCAATGAAACTGACCAGATCAGAACAGGAGGAGGATCTCAAAGTGTATGTTGACTCTGTCATTAAGAGTCTACCCATATCAGATCGTAAGCTACAGAAAATTCGTGAGGAAACTCAACATGACCCAAAATTGCAGTTACTAGCAGATGTAATTGTAAAAGGATTTCCCGAAACGCGCATTGAATGCCCTAAGGAAATATCAGAATACTGGAATATACGGACAGAGCTGAGTTTATGTGATGGAATCATCATGAAGACAGACCGAATTGTTATTCCAGTCTCATTGCGAAAGGAAATGCTTACCAAAATCCATACAGGTCACCTTGGTATCGAAAAATGTCGGAATCGAGCCAAACAAGTGATGTATTGGCCTGGAATGTACGCACAAATCGAGGAAATGGTGAATTCATGTTCAACATGTATCAAATTCCGTCCAAAACAACCGTCAGAACCGCTTAAACCACATGATGTATGCAATTATCCGTGGGAAAAAGTGGGAGCAGATTTGTGTGTATTCAATGGAGAAAATTATCTTGTGTTATGTGATTACTATTCCAACTATCCAGAAGTGTGTCGTTTGCATAGTGTGTCAAGTCAATCAGTCATTAATGCAATGAAATATGTGTTTGCAGGCCAAGGCATACCTAAGATAGTGTTCAGTGATAACGGACCACAATTCAAGTCAGCTGAATTCAGTGAATTTGCAAAGTCATATGATTTTCAGCATCATACGTCAAGTCCATTATGGGTTAGTCGAGAAAACCGTAGGCATTGTAAAAGGCCTATTGAAAAAAATCGGCGGATGATGGATCAGATTTCCACATGAGTCTACTCATCTACCGTGCAACTCCTATACTCGATGGGAAATCACCAGCCGAAATACTGAACAATGGACGTAAACTGCGTTCGAACTTACCAATGGCTGATAGTTGCCGTGGAAACCATTTAAACGAGTCTTATGAAAGAGCAAAGATGCAACAGAAACTCAAACAAAAACAGTATCATGACAGAAACACAAAAGAGTTATCGCTGTTGAGTACAGGACAAACCGTTCGTCTTCGAGATCATAATGACAAGGATTGGGGTAACTGTGGCAAGGTGCTCGACCAAGTTGCTCCGAGGTCATACGTGGTTCAAACCGAAAATGGACATGTATACCGCAGAAATCGCAGACATATTTTGCAGTCAAATGAACAATTTACACCATATGAACAATATGATTGTCAAAACAATGATTATGTTGATCATTCTAGTCATAATACATGTGATACTGAAAATACTCAATCACTTAGTCAAGATATGTCTATTTGTACCAAACATGTACCCACACAAAATATGTCAGGAACCACAAGGTCTGGTAGGTCAGTTAAGAAACCACAGAGATTAATTGAAGAGATTTAAAATTTGTTGATTGTGGGTCAGATCAGTACCATGAAAATGGGGTATGAGAGTGAGGACATAAAAATCTATGTCATTTGTTGTAAATTTTGGATTAGTTGTACTGTTTGTTTTTTACTTTGGAAATGCTAGTCAGTTGCATTATACAGACAATTTATTAAGTTTCTTTTGACATTACAGTTTCAGTGTTGTAATTTGTTAATGTACCAGGCTTCATTACAGTGTTGCAAACCAAATCCTAAATTTCAACAGAATTTAATGTCTTTACCTAATAATAGTTAATGTAAGGTTTCACATCTTTCAAGATCTTGTAAATGTTATTGTAGCTCATGACTCAATTTTAAAAGAGGAAAGATGTATCATTTATATGTTTTGAAATGACCCGTTTTGTGTATTACGTCATCAATTATGTGAAGGAACACAGAATTAAAAGCATGGACCCGACGCCATTCTTATGTTGTTTCTACAGGCTAATAAAAGCATTATAGGACCACCTTAACCTTAACACACGTATTAGGTCACTAACTGACTGTGTAACTTATAGTATTCATTCTGATTTTAGTTCTGAGTCAGAAGATTCAGATTCTGGTGCATCTGATGGTGGTAATATTTATATTATACCACAAAGACAACTAGGTCCTAGATCAGGTATAGGTAAGTCTACGCCATTCATTCGGAACATGGGAACAATTCTGGTGGTATTTCCAACACTAATTCGACATTTGATGCAAGTAGTAATAGTACTTACAATCCTTCGACACTGAATCGTAATGTATCATCAAATTCTCCCTCTGTAAATATCAGTATTCCACCAGTTCCAAGAAGATCCACGAGACAGGTAAGAAAACCTGACAGGTACGGTGAGTGGGTGCACCAGGTTACTCCAGTTTATTACGTATAGTATACGCAGGGGAGAATGTCACATGCATAGTTGATGTTCATTTTGTTTGTAAATATGTTTGTGTTTTTAATACTTTATCGGTATAATGCTACATGGACATTGTGATTTGCTTCAGTCATCTAAAATGTCAGGAGCCATTTTCCCTAGCAGGGGAGAATGTCACAGTTGTAAAATTAAATTATAATTATTATTAAATATTTGCTTTGATGCTTTGCGCAATATTAAGTACGTATTCTGATTGGCGCGCATAGCTAATCGAATACAACCGGTTTTGCAGGTATGTGAGAGCCATGTGCGAGTGTTTTGTTTTGAACAGGTGAATTTCTATTTTTAGCATTTCCTTTACGTATGACTGACCAGTGACCTACCATGGACCAATAGATTTCGTTATACTAATTAATATGCATGTTTTACTAACCCGTGCACTATTTAAAGTAAGAAACCCGCCAAAACCCCACCCCAAGCTCTACAGCCTTTACAGTAGTAGATCGCATATTTAATAGATAATCACAGATCGATTCAATCGATATACTATATAATATTTTTCTGACTTGATACTGGATGCCTGGTAAGATGTTCATTTATCTTGTAATTCATTTACTTCGCAGCACTGTTAAGGCTTACTATGAGAAATCAACGGAAAATAAAAGTGCAAAAGACGGGAAATTTTTAAAATTGAATTTATTTTTATTCAGCAATTCTATTATCACACAACTTTAATAGTTATGGAAATAGCATGGTATGACATACTCTGTACTGTGTAGAGTTTGGTCCCATCGATGGACAGTCACGTGATGAATGCATAGCAGGTACACGGAATGTAGGTCAATAACAAATTTCAATATCGCAAGGGCATACCCTAATTGAAATTAAAAATCCAAGCTATTAATTGTTTCTGTGTACTTTGTAGTTTCTGAAAAGTGCTGCTTTGAATAGAATTCGCGTTTTAATACTTAAATGTTTAAGTAAATAGGCCAATGTCGAAATATGTTAGAATTTAACCAAATATTTTTTGCACTTATAAAATCACGGCCTCGATTTAAAGAAAGCAGCAGCACTTTTCCGGTTAAGGAATATATCCTTTATCTATATTTAAAAAATGGTTCAGATCCATGCAGTGTATGCCCTTGCGAAAGTATGATTTTATGAGGCATCTCGATGTAAAATATACGTTACCTGTACATAAAACACGACATAATTAATAAAATACATTCTCTTTGTAGTTAATTAACAATCGCACTAAACAAAGGCTATACCTTGGTATTAATCGACTATTTAAAATATGTAAATAATATTCCGTTTGATAATAAAAAACATTTTTAGTTGATAAACAATTTCTCAATTTGCCTCTCACAGCACATGAAGTACGTCATTTTTACCAGTATGACGTCATGTTAACAAGTTCATCGCGACGAGTGCTTTGTCTACAACAAGCTACATGGGATTTAACTAGCAACTTTTTTTAATGCATTGATAAGTTATAATGTTGTTTATTATGCTAATACTGTTCAGCGTTGCAGATTATTTCATTTACACGTATAATGAGAACTGCATAAATGTCATATTTTTGTGTGACGTCATAGTATACTTTTCCCGTATAAATTAGGCCCCGCCCCCTTATTCAAGCCTTAACAATCCTGCGTTGTTTAATTTATGAAACGATCTACTGGCAGTCGTTTAAATATCTTATTTAATTATTACTTTTAGTAAATGTTGAAACGTCTTTCTGTTTCGTGTTTGTCTATGTGTATTGTTTTGTATGAGTGTTGTGAGAGTGTTTTTCTATTTTTTAGGATTTTCTTTATATCCATTAAAATATCAAAAACGACTGAACCAGTTTTGTTTTTGAATCCTTCGAACAAGACCGTGACCCTGTGACAAATATATAATAGTTTACAATTAATTTTTATCAGAAATGATTTTTACAAAAAGGATATTGCTCTTTTATGTGATTTATACCGAATCTATGTTATTTGTTTGACAAAAATATTCCGTTTTCCGTTCCGTGTTTTAGCAACACCCTTTGAAATCAAAGGGTTCAGCAAATTCAGCAAAATGTGAAATCCTAGCTTTTAAGACTAGTCATAAAAAATACCAGCAAGAAATTGAAGTGAAGTTGGGGAATGAAAATATCAACCAGGTATCTTCCCTTAAACACTTAGGCATTGAAAGAAATTCAACAAATACTCCTGACGTCAGTCAGCGAATAGAAACTGCCCGAAGAACCCTATACGCCCTACTCGGAAGTGGTATGCATGGAAAAAATGGTCTATCCCCTGTTATTACTCTAAATATGTGGACTACGTTCATTATCCCACGATTAATCCACGGAATCGAGCTATTAAATATAAGGAAAACTGACTTAGAGAAACTGGAAAAATATCAAAGAAAGGTACTGAAACAGCTACAAAGTCTCCCTGATAGGACCGCATCGATTGCCACTCTATCTCTGATTGGAGCCAAAACGATAGAGGCCCACATTGATGCTAGAATTATCACAACATTTCTAAATATTTCTAAAGATCCTGCAACAATAGAGCACCAAATGGCAGTTCGGCAACTACTGACAAAATCTTGTAATAGTGCCAGTTGGTTTATCAGAGCAAAAAAGTACCTTAGAAAAATACGATCTGCGAGATCCATTATACCTTTTAAGAAATATTAAAAGTACTGAAGAGGCAAAACATTGGAAACAGAAAGCAAAGAAGCAAATATCGGATTACTGGCATATTAAGAATGAAATCGAAATTTCGGAAAAAGTCTCTTTACAACATCTGAAATTATTGGCCAACTCATGCAGACGTCCCCATCCATTATCGCAGTCAAGTGCGTATTCACCTAGTGCTTCAAATAAGGCCATGCAATAAATACCTACCGCTTACAAGATAATATTAATAAATTTAACCAACACGAAGTGAAAAATGATTGTCTGTTGTGTGGAGAGAGCAAAGAGGACATGTTACACTTCCTATAAAAAATTCCCATCTTAGACTCTGTTAGGCAGCCATATGTGACCAAACTAAGACATTACCTGCAAGAAAACATTGGTTTACAGGAATCAAATCCATACATAATGGAGGACATTAGACTACTGCAAGTCATTATCGACCCCTCCTACTACACATTTTCAGAGATTCCATCCAGAAACAGTAAAATTCAGTTATTTATTGAGAACTTGGGCCGCAACATGGTATTTGCTCTACATTGCCATAGAGCTCAAACTATTAAAATAAAAATTTGGACGCAGTCTACAATCAACAGTCCTTAATATATTTTTTCCTTATTTTTGTTAAGGAGAAGTTTATAATTACTTTTAGAGCTGAAATAACTTTTAAAATAGAAACAGTCACGGTACAAGTGTTAATTTTTTTTTATTTATTTATTTTTATAGTACTTTTAAGGCCTAAACAATTTTACATTTTAACCTAAGCTCCTGTACAGTCTGTAAATTCTTGTTTTTATTTTGAGTTTGTCTATCACCTCTAACTTTATTTTTTACAGCACTACATAGAACAGGTTTTACTAACTGTCTTTTCATCACTTTATTTCTTTTATTTTTAATTTTTATGTCTTTTATGAAACCACCTTCTCGGGTGCTCCTTATACATAGGAGGGAACTCCATAACTGAACTGAACTGAACTCCATATACAGTGTCGATTCTCCGGGACTACTTTCGTGCCCTACGAATAACGCCGCGATGATATGGAGTTGTAGCGTAACGTAATACTGAGCTGTTTGGAGCTTGCTTTGAAATATGCACTAAGCAATGCTAAGGTATTAATCAACAACATGATGAAATAAAATTTCCAAAATTTTGAAATATGTGGCCCCAGGATCAGCGGTTCCTGTGGGGTGGGGTGCACAACTGATAAAGTTAAATTATATGCATTTTCTCTTTTTACTCTGATCTACCTCTGGATATTAAGTAAGAAAAGTAAGCATGGTAAGTGTATAGTTATGATAAGCAATGGTGCCTCCTTCAAGATTGTGAATTTCATGGCCTCTCAGGGAATCAAATTCAATTGTTGGAAAGTTGTTACTGGCATGATACTCAGATGACCAATAAGCATCTATGTAAGGCCCATGGGCTTCTTGTTAAGAAAATATTTAACAAAAACGTCATTGTCAACAACGGCAGTCCTCGGCTGATTCGCTACGGTCCGTGTGTGCGAGGTACGAGCCATCCGAGTGCATTGTCAACGAACTTTTTTGGACAAGCCCTCATAATATTCCTGCTATCATAATTTATATACGAGGGGTTATCAAAAATACGTGAATAAGCAATAAAAAGGCCTTTACATGTGCTCAAAAGCTGAACTAAGTCTAGTATATAAAGATCGGGATCGTAATGTGAAATAATAAAATCAGAACGACAACTCGGTCAAGTAGAACCGACGGCGACGCGGCGACTGACTTTGAAGATTTGGAATTGAGTATTAACAAGCATCAAAGTCACTGTTGAAAGTATGTATAAGACTACAAATCATTGTTGAAAGCAATAATTTAGATGTACGGGTATGGAGTTGTTAGTAAACAAAGTAAATTTTTTTTTTTAATTTGTTTGCGATAACATAAACAAGGAAGTGATTTTGTAAACTCAACTGGATGTAACACGCCGTATTTTGGATCTTTAACTTTTTATTTCATAATAGGAAATTAAATGCTGATGGCCTACAATATAATATGAAAAGTAATAAAATCTAACAACAATCATTATTGTGAAAATTACACTAACAATTTGTAATGCAATTGCACAAATACTTAAATTTCATTATACTAAGGCATTTGTATAAATTGTAATAATGCCAATATTATATATGCCAATATTATATATAACAATATGCATGATCTTATTCATGGATAAAAACATACCCTAAGTAAGGGAGTAATCAAAAAAATCCATGGATCTGGATCCGTCACATTATATCTGTTTTTAACCTAATATAATAATATAACAGACCTTCAATGCATATTCTATATTACTGATCATTATATTCCAAACTAAGTGTAACAATTACATAATTTAAAAAAATAATAACTAGTTCATTGATTTATCAACACTAGACTATTGTTTTACTATTCTATAATATTTGATATAATAATTATTTAACAAAAATGATAAATTTGATCAATGATTTCTTTTGTAAAGAACAGTTTCATATGTAAACAATCAGCTCGATCATTGAATATACAAAATAAACTCTCAAAATACTATAAATAAAACATGATTTTACAAGATACTGAATAGACAAATAATTACATACCTTTATATAACTTCTATGAAGATAAACTTTGATTAAACTGAATTTTAGATGCTTCTTCGTATAAACAGTGCTTGTTATCGCAATGGCATGTCTTATAATGAACAAAGGACGATTCAAACAAAGGAATAAAAATTATTACTTTAAAGAAACATTATTATTTATTTATTTTCCTATAATAAGATGGACATTTAAAATAAGAAACTTACATCAATCCAAAATTATTTTTACATAAAATATTTATTGAAGTAATCTTTAACTAATATCATGTATATTTAAATGATAAACGATTGAATGGTCATATGACTCCGTGGTCCAGCTGATAGGCAGCTCGCCTCACAATCCAAAGGACCACGGTTCAAACCCAACCAAGACCATACTTTTTTTAAACAAAAATTATTTTGTCTGATACACATTATATAAATATAAAATACATTAAAACTATTTCACTATATTACATATTCCCCCTGTTTATCATTGCTGTCCACAGCAATGCTAATAATGTGTAAACAAAATACATCAATTATCATAATAGAATGTCAATATCATGACATACTTTTAAAATTTTAAAAACATTTAAAAAATTGTCACAACCAATGTCTAATGTTTATACTGAGACCACGCTTTGCTAAGTGTTTCTCCCAGAGTGGCTCCAAGATTTGCGACAGCCTGACTTAGTTCTTGAAAGTTACTTTCTTTTGTCACAGCTGTTTGTGTCCGTACTGTCGAACGAGGTAAGTGATGTGGGTTTGAATGTTTACCCGCGGTACTTCTACTCGAACGTCTTAGCGGTACGGGAGTTTCTGATTGTACGGGAGTTTCTTGCGCCGAATGGTGATGATTATCTCCGTTGTCTTGATGCACATCATCTGTCCGAACATCTAACACTGCGTGAAAGCTTCCGTCACTCTTTACAGAATCTGAATCAGAGAATGAGCTTTCACCTTCTGAATCACTCGACACTAATTCACCTGTATCCAAGAGTTCTCTACGAGTCACATTTTTCGTTGGACCAGTACCATCTGCTAGTTGTACAGAATATACGTTATCCCCTAAATCCTGTATAACTTTATAGGGTGTAGAATTCCAGATATCCTGTATCTTGTTTCTGCACTGAATTCTGTTCCGCATTAAAACACGTGTACCAATTGAAAGGGGTCTTTCTTTGGCATCTCTGTTGTAGAGGTCTTTTCTACGTAGAGCACTTTCATCCAGATTTTGTTTAGCATTCTCCATCGCTGTTCGAAGCCTTTTTCCGTGTTGCACAACGTATTCATCTGTTGAAGAAATTTTGGTTGTTGGAAGTCCGAGAAGATGATCGATAGGTAAGGTTGGATCTCGTCCAAACATAAGAAAATATGGTGTATACCCGGTAGAAGAATGGATTGTTGAATTGTATACATAAATGAGTTCGGGCAGATGTTCAGGCCATTTCCGTTTTTGTTGAGGTGATAATGTTCTTAAAAGATTATGCATCGTACGGTTATATCGTTCTACTTGGCCGTTTCCCTCTGGATGATACGGTGTTGTTCTACTTTTGGAGATGTTATACATTTTACAAAGTTCCTTCACAACTTCACTCTCGAAATTCCTCCCTAGGTCGCTGTGAATCCTTTTAGGAATTCCAAAACGAACAAACCACTCTTTCACTAACACTTTAGCAACTGTAACTGCTTTTTGATCTCTTGTTGGCACCGCTTGTGTATATTTACTGAATATGTCAGTCATCACTAATACATTTTCTCGCCCATCGGTCGCTGGTTCAAGAACTGTAAAATCAATTGCTAGAATTTCTTGCGGTTGGTACGCTAAAAGATTCCCTATAGGTGGTCGTACAGTAGGAACTGGTGCTTTGGCTACCATGCAACGCTCACATTTCTTGCAGTATTGTTCTACATCGTTTTGCATTGTTGGCCAATAGCATCTCATTTTTATTAACGACAAAGTTCTTTCTATGCCTTGATGTCCAGCATGATTGTGTAATGACTCTAAGACATGATCTTTTAAAGACATTGGCAAAACAAGTTGTTGAATAGGACCAGTATCACTCTCAATGTTTCTGTATAGAACGTTGTTTTCGAACAGTAATTTATGTCGTTGTTTTAACAGTTTTCTAACATCTTTCTTGTCTTGTTGCAGTTCTTTATTCTTGGGTCGAGTATGACTATTAAGCCAGTGTATGACTCTACTTATTGTTGGGTCTAGTTCTTGTAGTGATGACAATTCAGTGTTTTGATATTCTGGCAAAGTTGATGTCGCTTCAATAGAGTTTACATGCACTGATCGAATATGAGCATCCAATAAATGAGAACCTTCATCTCGAAGATCCATCAGTGGGGTACTAAATATCACATTCTGAAAAACAGACTCAGAATGACACGTGACAGTTCTAACTCTTGGTGTAGGTTTGCGACTCAATGAATCGGCATTCTGATTAACCTTTCCTGATCGGAATTTCACCTCGAAGTTAAACTGTGCCAGTTGACTAGTCCATCGCATCTCCGTTGCCCCTAACTTCGCAGTCTGTAGGTAACTCAGCGGATTATTATCCGTGTAAACAATGAACTTTGCTCCAAGCAGATAATCTCGGAATTTCTCCGTAACTGCCCATTTTAGTGCCAATAGTTCTAACTTCATGGAACTGTAATTTTCCATATTACGTTCTGCTGGTCTCAATGTTCGTGACGCATATGCTATAACTACATGTCCTTGATCTTGTTCTTGTGAAAGCACTGCACCAAGTCCATCAAAACTTGCATCAGTCTCCAAAATGAAAGTTTTCTTAAAGTCTGGATATCCTAAAATTGGGGAAGATACCAATCTTCTTTTTAGCTCTTGGAATGCAGAATTACATTCTTTACTCCAAAGTTCCAAAAATGGTTTGTTCGGACACTTCTTCTTTTTCTTCTTGTTATCTGTGGTTATACTATGTAAAGGTTTAGCAATTTTGGAAAAATCCTTCACGAATCGTCTATAATAACCAGCTAAACCTAGGAACGATCGTAATTCTTTTTCTGATTTTGGTGTTGGCCATGATTCTATTGCTTCGGTCTTTTCAGGATCTGTAGAAACTCCTTCAGCTGAAACGATATGTCCTAAGTATTTTACAGATGTACTGAAGAAATTACATTTTGATGGTTTCATTTTAAGACCATGACTTTTCAACTTAGAGAAAACAATGTCTAGTCGTTGTATGTGTTCTTCGATGGTTTTCGAGAATACTAATATATCATCCAGGTAAAGAAGTAAGATGTCAAAAATTTCATCTGTGAAACAAGCCTCCATCAGTCTTTGAAATGTAGCGGGGCTGTTACAAAGACCGAAAGGCATCCTGAGATATTCGTACAAGCCTCCGGTTCTAACTCCAAAAGCTGTTTTCTGAATTGAGTTCTCATCCATGGCAACTTGATGGTATCCTTGGGCTAGATCTATTGAACTGAAATATTTCGCTCCATGTAGGACGTCTAATGTTTCTTCTATTCTGGGTAACGGATACGCATCTTTTATAATAGTTTTTTTATTCAGTTCGCGATAATCTACACATAAACGAAGACTTTTGTCCTTTTTTCTCACTATAACGACGGCGGACGCAAATGGACTATTGCTCTTTCTTATTATCCCTTGATTTAATAATTTGCGTATATGTTGTTTTACTTCATCAATCTGATGTGGTGGAATTCTACGATGTGGCACTCGAACAGGGATTTCATCTGTTAACTTGATGTTATGCTTAATCAAATCTGTATAGCCAAGATCATCGTCATCTTTTGTAAACGCGTCTAAATGTTTTTGAATGAGTTGGTGAAATTGCTCCTTCTGGCCGTCGGTTAACTGTGCATCTCCAAGTTTGAATTTTAGATCGATATTCTCAAATTTACTGTTAGTCGGTTTGATGAAATCTGTACTAACTTTTCGGACGTAAACTTCCTTGTCAAGAATTTCTAGGTCGTATTCATCGTCTGTAGATTTGATGACATCAACTTTATGTAAAGTACCAATTCGACTTTTGGGTTTTAACCAGACATCCTCATCACCAATATTTATTATTCTGACAGGAATTTTTCCGTTTTCAACTGTTCCTATTGTGTCGATTACCATGATGTTCCGTGGGAGAGATCCTGTATTTCCATGAATTGCTTGAACTGTGGCTGTATATTCTTCACCTTTTTTATTTTGACGAGTTGAACCAATAACAACTTTCAT